CCCCCCCCTCCATTCTGTTTCTTACTTACTTTACTTAATTCTACTTTTTCGTCCTCTGTTGTCGTTAAGCGTCGAGGGGAGATGCGATTTTCTATGGTAGGCCAGCTCCGCAGCTCTTTCGGTTGTGATAATATGTTTTCTCAGGGTCTCATTGAGACCCTCAATCGACCTTTTGTCTGTTTCTTAAGATGAGATTAAATGTCTCAAGGTCGTCTCGTGACGTCACTGTGAGCCATATTATGTGACCCCAAGGAGAGGTGTGCATACTAGACCAAGTAAGTTCCAAAGGGGAGTGGGGGCTAAAGTTTAGTTTTACCTACTTTTCAAGCTGGTTCAGACAGAGGGTTTGAGAGACAAATTAATGATGAATAAGGGGAGGGTACTCACAGTCGAAAGTATCGATTACGGAAGAATGACAGCACTATCACTACCACTACCATCACCAGCATCACCAACAGCACCACAACCCCAACCACCTCATTACCATCACCATCACAATAATCACCACCACTACCAATACCACCACAACTGCACTGTTACCAATGCCACCGCCAACAACTTACCACCAACACAATCATCACCACTATCGACACCATCTATGCCACTACCACAACCACCACAGCCACCACTATTACCATCACCATCACAAACACTACCATCACCATTACCACCTCTATCATTAGCCCTGCAACTACCGCAAGCACCACCACCACCACCACCACCACCACCATCAACCCCACAACCACCGCCACAACCACACCACAACCACCACCATCACTACCCGCCGCCACCACACCACTTTACCACCACAATCACCACCGCCAACAGAACAGCAGCAACAACAACAACAATAACAACAACAACAACAACAGCAACAGCAACAACAACAACAACAGCATCCGGCGGTGGCATCTCTTAGGGGAGGATTCACGGAGGTTGGACTGCCTCACCCGCTACCCAAGTGAGGCGGTGGCCCTGGCGAAGAGCGCGCTCTTCGGGGCTCCAAAAATTTCGAATGGATAGGCTACCACACACACAGCAACAACAACAGCAACAACACAGTAAAGACACAAAGACTTACATAGATCCTTTTGTCTGTGTATCTGTCTATCACTGCATTCAAAATGGCCATCTCGTCCATGACTGCAAGCTCTGTCAAGTCGTCGTTGGTAACTCTCTCCGGCAGCTGGACCTGATTCAAACACAAACTAGGTTTAGTTTTAGTAAGGTGGTTGATGTCAACAGAGAAGTCCAAACGGGGAATCGGGTATACTCTGCTCACCTTTCTAGCCTCAACAGCAAAACGTCTTCTTCGATTATCCAGGCACTCCAGAAACAGCGGTCCACAAGAGAGTGACAAACATACAGAAGAAGTAGAGGGAAAATGACAATAGTAAAGACGAGGAAAGAAAAAGCAGCGGTTCCCCCTACATTGTTTCGGTACAGTATGAGCATTACATTGATAAA